AAGATTCATTATGTGACAGGTAAACGAACATTAGATACGAACATTCATCAAGATCATGAATCGTGATCATGATCACGTGAAATGAGATCATGAAATGACTATCAAAGAGAAGCCAAGTTACATTCATCTCCTTTTTGGCCTCAACTTTGATTGAATCGAGTTTTGTGATGGAGTCGGTGATGAAGATTTGCAATGGCTTGAATGAGATGGAGATCTCGATCCTTTGCTTTGTCTTCTCATTTCACGAATTTCTCGCCGACGTTGAGCTTTCATTTGAACGACCGCCTTTCGAGCTCGATCCTGAAATATTATTGGAATAAATACTTAACTTTACAACTAATTACAGTTTCGTTCATTAACAATAACTCACAAATTCCATTTTCAGGAAATAATCAATTTGTTGTGGTTGTTGTTCTTGCCATTCAACTTGTTCTCCGTCAAACAGATCCACTTGATGAGTAAAGCAAAACACGGGTTTCTTTGAGCCCTGAAATTTGTTGTCTTGCAAATGTTTAACAATGCTTTTTGTTCAACTCACATCCCATCTCAATTCCACTACATTTTCGGGAAGTTTCTTGGGTGATTGAATCCATGTATCCCGCACCGAACACCCATACAAACGAGAGTTCTTAAACCACCGAATCATTCCATGTTGCCCGAACTGAATTCATTTTTAACAAAAATGTATGATTTCTAACTTCAAGTTATGGATTCATGAACTTATCAAAACCAACCTCACTACCAACCTGCAGGAATTTCTTTGTCGATCGGGTCAATGGCATCTTCAGAAGATTTGAATAAATGTATCGATTGATGTGAAGTTCTGTTACAACCGTAATTCTGTCTACTATATATACCAACCCCTTTCCCATTTGGGATCTCTTGTCGAGACACGTTTCCCCATTTCACCGATAAAAAAGCGTTCTTTTCCCTCTCTTTCCTTTGTCTATTCTCTCATCCTGTGATTCATTTTGTTTCCATCTGCGGCAAATCGGGGGCTCTTCTCTTCAAAAACAATGCCATGCAATATTTCCAGGTCAAGACCCGTTTATCGATCAGCTATTTCAAAATGTTAAACATACGATAACGAAGCATTACATTAAACGTCTGTTTCTTTAGAATTTAGCAACATATGATTGACCTCATACCGATTGTTTCTAATGTTTGTATCATTAGCGTGCATTTTTGTAACTACATAAAATTAACCATTTATTTAAATCTAAAAAATAACCATTTTTAGTGATTTTATTGGAAATTCCCTGAACGACTCGTGAAATCCATAAGGTTGACGCCGAAGATTTGACTTTCTGCTAACTGATTTGACTTGTCTACAACGTGTTTCAATTAAACGTCAACCCTGATTCCTTTTCAGTCAATCCAGGGGATTTCCATTTATGAAATGAAACCACAACAACCAATCAACCAAAAGAATAACTCCTACAGAAAGAGAAACGGAGATTGGAAGGGAATAACCGATTACTTGTGTTCATAAAGAAAAACCCAAAAAAATGGGAAACAAACGTGAAACCATGAAAACGTGAAAATATCAATTTGTAAAAAGCAAGAAACATGCGCATTAACCGCAGCACAACAAAATTGGGGACAACAGGCAATTCGATTTATCTCAATGGATTTCACATTTTTCTCTCCCAAATCTAGAGCATCACTAACAAGTAGCAAATGTGATATCCATTGAACTAACCGTAATACGTAAATGATTGGAGTGAATTGAATAGTGTTGAATGAAAGGAGAAGCACCAAAGAATCTCCACATAACAACAACGACACAATTTTAAGACAGTATTTCCAAACTTTGCAAAGATTAATCAATTAGGTAGAACTGTTGAGGTACAAATTGACAGATTAAATTGATTAACCGATTAGCTGTTAACAACAACAAAGTTCCTACAAAGGAAATTTAAAACAAGTAGATAAATCTTACAGAAGACTTAAAAATTTCCCATGAAGAGCTATCCACAGAGTTAACAGAAACAAAATCAAACAATGTAACGATAACAATATGTATGTGTTAAATACCGGCCAACAAAGAGGAGCAAACAAAATGAACGAGTGAACAATTTTTTAAATGGCTTAGAAATGGTAAAATAGGCACTAGCTACTACGGTTTGACAGGAAACTGAGAATCAAAATGTTTACATTTGCAGAGCAAATGAGTTCTTGTGATCCTCTCAGTGGTGGTTGGTTGTTGTTTTTGGACTGGGGCTCGACTGGGCAACCCACGACTTTGTCTTTGGAACCCGTTGCATCTAAAAAAGTAAATAAAAAGCTATTGTTAAATCTGTAGTTAGTTTATGGAGGAATATAATGAAAATAAACCTTGCTAGGGTCAGCAGATTTGGCAAGGCCCATATTCATCAACATCCAATCGACGCGCAGTGGATGCTGAATGCAAATAATTTTAAAAGTTATATAACTATGCAAGTTTATGTATATAAAAATTTACCGGGTTGTTGCCGTCTGGAATGGAAAGCTCAACAAAGGGCACATGGTCCTCGACATGATACCCGACGATGTGTGCCTCAATCACTTTTCCGTGCGTCACTTCTTTTAGCATTTGATATGCTTCAGTAGACCACGTCCAGGTACCTAAAAATTAAGAATTCATCGAAGGACTTGTCATATTTCCCGGGACCACCATTTTAATATAGGAACGTGCACTGACAACCACCAAAACACAATAAACTTACACTTTGAGTTTGACTTTCTAACTGCTGCTAAAACACTCGTTAACGTTTTCGTGATATAATAATACACATAATAAATTTAAGAAGTTACATTTAACTTACCATCGACAGGTTGAACATTTGCCAGATAACATTCGACAGCTTGGAATGGAAGTGACATCAAATCAGTGCGAATTTGCCGAAGAATCTCCCTCTTGACTTTCAAATAGCCACCATAGTCCACAAAACGAATCAGAACCTAAACCAAAGTTATTAGATAAGTGTATGCTGTAAAAAATACCTCGTCTGTGTCTTCAAAATAGTTGACAGTCAAAGCGCGGAACCAGGCTTGCAGAACCGGTGCTGCACAAAGTACTCCGGCTGAAATGAAATTTTATTAATGTTTTTAAAAACATTAATAAAAATGCTTACTTGAACAATTCTCCTTGGGTATTGTTGGTGTGTCCGTGCTTTGAGTGTAAATTTGAAGCATATATCTAAATATGTAAGATAAACAAAATCAGCAAACATCTATTACCGGTCAAGAAGTGTCAGCGAATTGAATGAAGGATGTGTGGGCTGTTGCAAAAAGATATGACCCGGATCAACCATGGAAACAACGACGACTTCGGTTGGCACATATTCAGGAAGAGTTAACTAAATTAAATAATTTGCAAGACCAAACTTCAAAAATTTACCCATGAAGCTTGAATGGGTTGATCAGTCAACGGAGGATTTCCCGGTAGAACTGGTTGCAAGTTCAATTCAGGGAACCTAGAAAAAACAATTAAGAGAAATCAGTAACCGGTACTTACCTTTCAGCCGGGAAGCGGTTCCTGAGCATGCAAAGACATTTGTTGATCTGCTCACGTTTGCCTCGAACCTAAACAGGCCATTTTAAATTAGACTATCCGATGTTGTGCAATGCTTTACAAAAAATTGGGTGCTTCAAAAGAATAAGTACCTGACAGATTTGATGTGATTCATGTTTTCCAGGCTCATGATGAGGTTTAATTTCCATTACGACACCCGTTCTAGTACTCAACTCCTGAACAGGAAAACCTTTTTGAAAAATAAATTCAGCAGACCTTGATCGTCTTTCCACCAACACCAATCACCAATCCCACCAATCCATTATGAATTTCAAATTCATACTGAGGTACAATCTCTCCATAAGCATTCTGAAAGTTTGGAGGTCCCGTAGCCCTTCCGCTATCCACGGAGCCCTGAATGAAGAATTATCATAGACCATAATGTAATATTGCTTACATCAGAAGAGTCAGGTGTTCCTTGGCTATCTCGTCTATCACCCGTGTGTTGTGATTTGTTGGAAATTTCAGTTTCAGTAGATTTTTCCATCTAAACCATGCATCTTATTTGCAAATTATTTAATTTAACCTCTTCACTCCATGAAAATGGTTCAACAGAATCCAAGATCACTTCCAAAGGAGACTTTTGCTGATTAGTTGAAGATGAAGGACACTAAATGATTTATGCGTAACAAATTAACAAGCGTATAACTTACATCTTCCAAAGCCAAATTACTATCTAATTTCAAGACATCTTGGAACTTTTCGTTCTCCTAAAATATCAAACATTATGTTGCAACAAATATTCTTTTAACCTTGTTATCATTGATACTGTTCGTCCCCGGCATTTTGTTTTCCAGATGATCCAACTTTATTGTGTTTGAAAGTTTGCGCTAAAAATTAAGAAACTTAAAATTTTAATTCTTCTTTACCTTTTCTTTCAATGTTTCATCCTGTGGATTTTTCATGGCAGTGACTATATTAAGTGAAGCAGAAGAGTTAGAACCGAGCTCCTAAAATAAAATTTATTAGCTTTTAAGATTTTATAAACCTTCAATCTGCTTTCGCTTTGTCTTTGAGCCTGCGTCTTTTGAGCGTATTCTTGAGCATCTGATCCTTCGATGAAAACATTTTTCTAAATAATCGATTAATCTTACTCGCAAATAAAAGAATACCATCTCCAAATCTTCCAATACGACGTCCATTTTGTTCATATTTTCCTTTAGCTTGTCGAAGATCTTCTTTGTAAATCCTTCAGTGTCGTCAGCCAGTATTAAGCTTTCAAAGTCTCTCTAAAGAAAAAGATTATCTCAATGAAAATAACGGCAGGACAGGTTTAATTTCGGGATTGATTATTTTGCTAATTGTACTTCGACACTTTGAATTTTATAATTAAGTAAAAGGTTTAGATTTAGTTTTCCTAAAGAAGAAAACTCACTGTGGCCTTCGAAAAAGTTTCCTGTACAAATTTTAGGAGTTGTTGCTCGTAGTTTGGTCCGAAGTTTTTGTAAATGAAGACGAGGCGCTCCACTTGTAGTCGAAAGACAATACACGCAACAATTGATACCTCTTTATTATCTAAACAAATAAATTAGGAAGCTAGGTATGACTACGAGTACTTGACTTTTTGATAATCAAATCTTTATGCTAGGAGTAATTTTGAGTAAACAGTAACAAAAATCTACATTGAACTCCAATAAGCACTATGGCAATCGCTACTTAATGATACTTCAAAATAAAACTGGCATTTTGCATCAAATATTAATGCGTATTCATTTTTTATATAACAGTTGCCTTTTCTGCAATGAATCAATTCAAGCTGACAGTTGTGTAAATAATGCAAGGTTCTTCTTTCTCAGTAAATTATAAATATTTCCCCAAAAGATCACAAGAAAACTCTCACCTTTTGACTTGAGCTCCAATTGAAACTCTTTGTGCGTTTGTTGGACGTCGAAGACAACGGCACGCTGCTTGAACGGAACGAGTAGATGAAAGCCTTCTCCAACGGATTCGTCACCTTCTTGAACCCCGCTGAGTCGATCGACGATCACGGCACGATATCCTTTCTTCACTAAAATTAAACACATTAATGTGAACAAACTAATGGTGTAAAACAAAAAAGGAATCTCATATTTACGCAAAAACATGGAGCAAGCTTGCTTTCACATTAGATCAAATCTGATGATTGCTCATTTATTCAATTCTACTCGAGTGATTTAGCCGGCAGTGTTTAACAAGTATTAATTGCGAGCAAAGTACAAACTAATGCTTTTCTTTCAATCCAAACAGGTGAAAAAGTGCATAAAAGTCTGTCACGTGACTGGAGAAACGCCAATAAACATGACAGGCCACGCGACAAATCCTAGCCAAATAAAAATCAATAGGGTTCTTACCAATCAAAAATTTGATAATCAAATGAACATATGTTTTGAGCTCTGATCTAGCAAATAATTAGGATTCAGGGCAAGACAGAAATGTGCATGCTTTTATCGCTATCTTATTCTAACTCTCGCAAAATGCTATCAATCAGCAAAACGTGCTACTATTTCTCAATGGACTAAAAGAGTTGTACCGTGGTTTGAACTAGGGTCTTTGTCTTGCTCATGCATTTAATTCCCTTTCTAGGATTTAGGATAAGTAGCAGATAGAGAAAAGAGACAAGCGATGGGACTGACCGTAATAGATTGAGGCAAGAGCGATTCCCCCTCCAAGAGCGACGGCAGCAAGTGGGATTCCAAATCTCCTAGCCAAACTCTTCTGCACGTCAGCCGCCATCAACTCGAACCCTTCTCTTTTCTCCGTGTTGCTCTTTTGCGATCACAAAGTCGATCGCAATCGTGAGCAAAGAGCGCTAGTTGGCGTCCACCTAGGCTGAATTTGTAATTTTGAAAAATCTTTGAATAACAAGAAAATATTGCGTAACCCTCAAAAGGGGTAACATTGCACAAGGGGGTCCTAGAAACCAGACGAGAGAGTGGGAAAAGAGAGCAAAAAAAACAGTCAATACGGGGCGGAAAGAAATGAAAACGTTTCAGCCTGTTAGAGCCAAAAGTCCATCAAATACGAAAAAGAGCACAAAATATTGAAGGCAGTTTGCGAAACTGCTCAAAATAAAAATGCGAGTTCTAGAAAATTTATTTTTCAATAAACACTCATTAGCTCTTGAGTACTTTATAGCAGAGCACCGGAAAAAGAAAAGTGAGTGATAGATTGCAAAATTTACAGTGAGCTGTTGAAACCACAAAATAGAATTCTAGCATACTGTAACAAATCACAAAGAAGTAAGACGTAAAAGGTTAAATAAATGACTATTCGGTTAGAATTACTCGTTTTCTATTGAATGGGTATTGATTGGTAAGTAGACGGCAAACTCACAGAATCATTTGGAAGGAAATCATGGAAATTATGATGAACAATACGGAGATTTTTATCACAGACTACTACTCCTGGAGAACACAAATGGCAAAATCACAAAAGCGCTAACATAATATGTAAACTAGCCTAGGTATGTATATCTTCTATCAAACCTACTTAAAGTATCCAAAGTTTAGTCTTAGTTGTTCAAAAAGGACAAAAGTAAGAACGGTGTGCGGGGCGAGACGAACCCATGCAGGAACAAATCCCTTGAAAAAACCGGCTGGCCCGAGCTTTGCTGTGAACACGAAGCAGTCCATAATGCTCTAAAATATAAATAGATTATGCTTGTCTATCAAGTAAATCTTTCGCACTTAAAACAAACATTCCTAATATTTCTAAATTACCTTAAACTGCCCGGGAGAAGCGTTCATCATTCTTGTCTTCAGCACATCCATAGGCTGTGTCATCAAGGTAGCAATTGATGCCTGTAAATGAAAAATTAATGGTGAAACAATCTAATTTTTAACTAACCGCGGTAATAGACGCCGCAAAATGAGTAGCCAAGTTGTCTTGAGCCAATCCCGATGCGAGAATCGTCTGTTTGATCTGGTCGTAGAAAGCAAGTTGTCCGATAGTCATCAAAATTGCTCTTGATGTAGCCATTGTTGCCCCCCCGAACAATCGCGCTATGCCTAAAAATCCAAATATTTCGTCTTAATTTAATTACGTACCTTCTTCACGAATGATTCTTAGGACTCCATCTAATGCGTGTTTGTAATTTCTTCTTTCAGCAGGAGGCAACTAAAATTAAAACTGCTAAGAGTTTTGATCAAAGCCAACCTTGACATCATTTTGCATTCGAACGTTGACAAGATCGCCCGGAGTTCCCACTAGCCCGCCAAGTGCCCCAGAAACACCAGCCAATAAGGCTTTTTGTAGGAAAGGCAGGTTTTTATCTAAACAGGTCAAAATTTATAAAAATACAAGTCATACAATGCTAACCTGATGGATATTGCTTTTTCAGGCTTTCATAAACCGCAAATCTTGTCGTTGAATAGGTTAGTTGTCGCAGCAATGATGCAGAGAGGCCATTGTAGAATGCGAGCAATCCATCCGATCTAGAATTAAAAGAACATTTGCTTGACAGGACAGGTTTAACTCTATAGGTGATAAGAATAACAACAATACGTACTTGTGTAGTTTAACCGCCATTTGTCCGAGTGTGATTTTTCCAGCCTGCTGCGTTTGTAGATGTACCTAAACACAAACTTTACCAATAAAAAAACCAACAAACCTTTAGCAAATCAAGTGGATGAGTGCAGCAGGCTAAACTTTACAAGTACGCATTTATTTCTATCATTCTTATCACCTGCCCCAGCCGAGGCCAATCCTCCAAAATACCATCGTCCAATCTTCTTTTCTCTCGGCTGGGTCATCACTATAAATTGAGATTAACAATAGGCAATAAAAAGTTTGAAAACACGAACATATCAAAGCCTTTCTTCACATAAGTCTTAATAAGTTCAATGAATAATTTATCGCAGATCAAAAGTGGCATCAGTAACCCAAGCAGTAAACCGTAAAGAATTGAGGATCAGAAAGAGAGCGACAAAATAAATAACCGTATTATTTTTTGGTATCGAACAAATGTGAGATAAAAAGAAAATGAAATTTTTTGCTGAAAGACAGTCTTACTGTAAAAAGATATTCAGTTGTCACGGTTAGTGTTTGAAACTTTCATCTAAACGAAATTTGGATTTTACAAGAATTACCGTAAGATCTACAAATTTTATAGTTAAACTGGGAAGAGAAATTTAGACTGAACATAAAAGTGCGTAGAATCTTTGTTAAATAATGAAATCTAGAATCCGAATAACCATTTAGTGACCCAAATAACGGGCACAATGGCAAGAACGGACCACACAAAAAGGGTTTGATCGACTCGAAAAGCCGATCTTTGAATCTTTCCCAAATAAGTAGAGAGTGTTGTCTTTGGAAAAGTGGTGGGCTAAATTTCAATTTTTTAAATTGTGATTAATTTCCCAAACCTTAACAATAAGCTTTTGCTTTGCGAGATACTCGAGAATTGGCTGAGCGTTTCTCGATAAAGTCGGCATGTATTCGGCTTGCTTCTCTCGTGTCCACCAACCACTGAAACTCTTTTGATAAAAACTTTTCATTAAGTATTCACTTTAGTGTTATAACAGTTGTGTATCAATCTAAAATCTAAAGTTTGTGCGTACATTTCTCCCTTTTTCGCATATCGATAGTGATAAAGTTGAGCTCGAGCAAATTTCATCGGCTCCTCTTTGGTGAATGGATATTTTTCAACAAGACGAACAACTGAAAACCCCTTGATTATATTTAACATAATTCCCAACTTACCATTTGTATTGTTATTGAGCAAGTGATAAACCATTGAGACAAACCATGGATTCTGTTGATATGTTCCAAGAGCCGCAAACCACATTTGCCAATCAAGTCGTGGTTGATGGGGCACTGAAATGAAGCTTTTGAGAGAATTTGTAATCCAGGCTTACCGACAAATTGGGGCATTCTATTCAAATTTCCTGGTTTTGCATAGAACTCGATCTCTTTCCATGGTCCATCAGGGTTTGCCGATCCTTCAATAATCACCTCTGGTCGTCCCTCTATTCCGGTCATACTAAACCATTCAGTTATTCGATGTTATCCATTTTTATTCACCTTCTGAAAAGTCCATATGAGCTGACTAGGTGATATTTGCGAGTGATTTCATGTAGCTCTCGAACTGGTTTCGGTAGGATTTTCCCTACATTTCCATCGAGGTAAGTGAAAGGAACCTGAAGATTGTGTTCATTTCTTTGATTTACTTTCAACTTACCAATGATATCGCAAAAATGAACCCGCCCAACGAAAGTACAAAGACGTAATGGATGATATTCCAAAACTCGCCCTTCGTTCTGTAAATTGCGGTTTTTATTTTTATTATGAATAAAATAGTAAGAAGAATTTACATGTTTAACATGATGATCTTTTTTGGATCTTTTTTTGGATCTCTTAATACAGAGAGCCAAAAATCGTTAAACTAATAAAGGGTTTGGTGTTTTGATTGGTTGTGTCGATCGGATGGGATCGCCATGTACAAAAGGGCCGTGAAAAGGGGGATGCCTGTCAAAAGAGAGAATGATAAGAGAAGAGAAATGAAGTGAAAAGTCCCCTAGATGGCTCTCAAAAAGGCTCACCTCACCCACTCTCCGCCTATCTCTATTCAATCTCTTTTTTCCCTTTCTCTTTTCCAAAAAGAGAGACATGTCAACCGTTTATCCCCGTTTGAACACAAGAATTCATTTGACACTTTGAAAAAGGAACTAGGCACAAAAACTAGAGGAACTTTCCAGCAAATTCTTGAGATCAATCATTAAAAAGAAAATAGAAAATCTTGAATCAAATTGGGGAAAGATTTTTGTCGACTTTTTGTTTGTAACTACCTGTAAAGAGTGATGAGGGCTTTCCAGGTGAGTCCTCCAATTCCTGCATAAATAATGTAGCGAGTCGCTTTCTCAACGGCTTGATCGAATTCAAATCGGGAAAAAACTAAAGATGTTAATGAGTTAATGTAAGATATTGTTGTATCAAAGAGTAATCTGAGAGTACTGGGCTTTCCTACAGAATGAGACTTGGTAAACTGGTTGTATCGCAGTGTATCATACTAGTTTTTTCCTGTCTCACCAATTTCTGACTCGACAATCATTCGTTTCCAATCAATTTGCACACCAAACCATGTACTGAAGTGCCACAAACTGAAAATTATTGAAATTCAAACATTTTCATTGAAATTTGTCAACTGAACAAACCTAAAGCCAGCAATTCCCATGAAAAGCACGGTCTCAAGCACCCAGAAGAAGAAGTTTTGGCGTTTTTCACGAGGAGAATTATCTAAAGCAGAATTTCGCGAATGATCCTGATCGAATGATCGCAAATTTCTATTCTCCAAAGCAACCAACAAACCATATCCAACTTCCAGCATTGATAGACAAACTAGTGAGTAGAGAACGTTGAAGAAATTGTAGTTACCAGTTAGCATGATCAAGAGCATGAATTTAATCTGAAAAGTCCTTGTTCTTTTAAAGTTTTAATATACTTTCAAGATTTTTCTTTGTTTATAATACCTGCGGTATGGCTGCAAACCATCGAATACTCTCAAAAGGCAATAAAAACATTGGAGGAAGATAGAGCTCGATGTAGAAAGTGAGAGCGACTGAAAGTTTTATCTTGTAAGATATTTCCTTTTACAAACCTGATAGTCTATTGAACCATTGAGGAAAATGATGAAAATACCAAGCAATCGGAGTCGGGAGACATTGAGATTCATAATGGACATCAAGAGCTAAAAAAATGACGTTTGATTGGGAACTTGGTCTCTTGTTCACCTGTTAAATTCCACCATGTTGGACAGCCTGATTGCAGCTTGACAATACCCGAAGCAAACATCAATCGACAAGCCAACCATCGGTATAGATAGATTGAAATCTGTAAGAAGTGTTATATATAGAATTGCTGCCATTTATCTACCTGATCGGCTGGTCCGTCGTGGAAAGACGCGAGAATTGTAGCCAGTACTCCGGTCTCCAAGAGAAGGATATCCCATTGAAACCACAGGAAAGTGCCTCCAACCTGAAATAATCGATAATCTTAATCTTACAATCTTTAGAAAGCGGACAAACCTCATAGGCAGCCACATAACTAATCCACAAAAAGGCATACACAAGGAAATTCCTCGTCTTTCGAAAAGCAACCGTGAGTAGACTAAAATGGAGAAAGTTTTTCTTGCAGAGAGCCACTCCAATCGATATTCGATGGAAATGAGTGAAGAAATGAGAGACCTCAAGGCCATCGAGATGAGACAAAGAAGTGAGAGATGAGAGGATGGGGACATTGAGGGAACAAATCGACGCATCACTTGCAGGAGAAGCGATTTACAGTCAAAGATCGACTCGGAATCTGAAAATGGAATTGAGACATGGATTTGGGATGAAAGTCGATCTTTCAAAGTACTTTTCAAGATAACTCACCGCATTCGAGTTGAGGCGAGATCGGAGTGATCCCTCGATCACTGTAGAGACCTGGAAAGTTACTGTTAAAAAGTAAGCAAGCTTGATTTTATCTTGAAAAAAATCTTGTCCTAGCAGGTTCAATAGTTTTCAAAAGACAACAATAAGTTTTCTTCAACGACTTTTCCCAACACTATTTCCCTTTTTACGGGTAATATCACAGTTTCTTTTAATATTTCGATTACTCACCTGGAATCTGCCAATACAACGAAGCAAACGCGATAAGATAGACAATGGATTGTCCGACAAGAAGCACTTCTTTCATCTGTTGAGTGGTGAAGATTGTCGAAAGCCATCTCATCGATCCCTTCCCCTCTGTTGCCACTTGGTTTATACCCATTTCTGAAAAAGCCTGTAAATTAATGTTTTTAACTGTGTAAAAAATTTGGCAAAACCCCAATAAAGGGTAAAAGTTTGCCTAAAATAAAAATTCTCAGCCGATGTGTGATCGGAGTGGCTGGGGGTACGGTGGATAGGGCAAGGGATAGGATGGATAGAGAAAAGGGCAGTTGGGCTATCTAAAGGGGGGCTATCTTTGTTTTGTTTTGGGGTAAAGGGGCTATCTTTGTTTTGTTTGGTCTTTGTCTTTGTTATGGTTTTTGTAGAGGAAATACACATTCTTGATTAGAATTTCAATAATCTATTTCATAATCCCTACAGATTTTTAAGACTACTGAAACTTTACTCTAAAAATGTTACCTAAAAGACTTGAAAATAAGTAGGCTTGTATACTTTTTTGATCATTGGATCATTGAATTATTCTTGCTCCTTTTAAAACTGATTAATAAGATAGAACATTTTATTATCATCAAGCACCCGAATAATTGGCAAAGCAAAATAACAAAGGACTAATCTTGATGTTTTTTTTTACTTCCATCGTCCTTTCAAAGCTTTATACGATCGTCGAATGCAACGAATCATTTGGAAGACACAAACACAAAACAAGAAGAATGATGATAACTTCTGGGGGATTGGCTGAAATTGTTTTCTATGATATTTTAGGAAACAGGTAGAGCTCTGTAGACTAGCTCAATTTTCTATTATAGTTTGCTTTTTGTTCTCACGCACCAGTATTTGATAGAGTTGATCGATGAGGACAAGAGTGGTAATTAGAGCTCCAAACATTCCTCTCTTTCTCACATCTTTGTATGAGACTCTTTGAAAGACCTAAACTTCTGTATTGGATATTTTTCAAAGATTTCTTCACCTCAGCAATCATTGTGAAGAGCAAAAAGATGATCAAAAATGTGGAAACGTGATGTTCGGAGATGAAAGAATACGTGACAAAAGACCATCTAAAAGGAAGTTTTTTGCCAGATTGATTAGCTTGAAAGTTTTCGCAACTTACACAAGAATTTGTGCCAATCGAAACGCCAACACATATGCTTGATCTTTCCTCATGATCGTCCTTTCCACAAATTGCATTGGATCCTCTCTTCTTGAGAGCTTTCGACTGTTTTCTTGAGCTGCTGAACCCATTCTAAAATGAAAGATTTTAGAAAAATTCTTAAAGAATTAAGAAAACATGAACAAACTGTTGAACGGGGAGATTTTGAAAAAGTCATTAATTTTTTTCGGTGAAATGCTCTTTTGCCGGTTGGGTTGATTGAATGGTAAGTGATTGGAGAAATTGAAGAGAAAAAGATGGGGAGATTTTTTGGGATTGGGATTGCTTTCTCTTTTGATAGAAACAGAAAGAGATAACACCATTGAAGGGGCAATCATTCGAAGGCTAGAGTTTCCTCCAAGATGAAAGATTCGACTTCTACTAGTTTCAGTAGATTAGTTCAGTAGATCAGTAAATCTACTGGTTTCAGTAGATTACTTCCAATCTTCCAATCATTTTCACTTGTTACTAAATTTGTAACTCTAGGAATAGTTTTGACATGGTAAAAAGTTGTCTTATGTTTGATTTATGAATAAAGTTTTCAATATTGCCACTTTGTGTATTGGATTCAATTCTTTCACAAAGAAAAAAGGAAAAAGGGAAAAAGAAAAAAGAAAAAAGAAAAAGTTTCTCTTTCTTTCTAAAAAGTGAAAAAAAGAAAAACACGAGGTCAGGGTTTTCATAAAAGAACATAAAAAAACGAGAGAGGAAAAGCACTGAGAAAGACTGAGAAAGACTGAGAAAGGCACTCTTTAGAAAGAACTGACAAGAGCTGTGGACCAATAAAGTTGCGATACTTTTTATAACAAGTAAATGACAAAACTTTATCAAGCTGAAGGTTTCTTTTTGCACACAAATCTTGCAGCTAATTGAACAGTTGGTCGATACATCCATCCTTTATTACAAGTCACATCATTCATCACCTGAAGCTGTCTGTTATCTAAAACTCATTAAATGATACCGTATAATCATAATTAGTGGTAGCTTCAAGTACAGGCAATCCAATGTAATCAACGAAAGTGTTATCCGTCCACGCATACAATTCACTCTGTTTGTAATAGGAGAGACCGATCCACGCTTGACCATAACTTTAACAGAATGATTGGATGAAATGTTAATGTCAAAAACTTGCACGGATCACCATTACCAGCTGTTGTCAGACTTGCCAAATTGTAAGTCGAAGCAAGACCTATAATCTATAATCATAGTCACTAATCATTCTCTTACCATACACAATATCGTCTTCATCTTGACTATGAATCGATACAAGATGCGCATTCTTTTCCATACATTCTCCCTCAGCTTGTGTGAAGTTGAAAAGATCCCAATGTTGACCATCAGTCGCTGTGAAATTCTGATTTTAAAAGTCTATTGTTACTAAAGATATATCAAACCTTGAGGTAATAGCAGAAGTTTGTGTCCACAGAATAGAGCCAATCAAGATCACAAGGGGCATCTACACACGATCAGTTCTCATGATCAGACTCTCTTACCGTTATCCTGTTTTCCACACACATACGGCATCAACTGGGTACAATTCACCGTTTGCCACAAAGCTGTTCTTGGATCAATCGCTGTGCAAGCATATCCATTATTTGGCTCTCCTAGATGATCAATTTTGATTCACCAACCACACCAACCAAATCACCAACCACTCTTCCATTTTGTGTACCGCAATGGTGTCCCATCCGAGTACGCCCATTCACCATTCGACATTTTCTCCACTCCAATCAAAGTTAATCGACCGTTCACAACTGTAATCCATGAATTGAATTGAATTCATGGATTTTTTAATCCTTACATGTCATTGACTCTACAGCCACCGCCGCATTCATGAAAGCATCAGTGATTTTGACGAGACTTGCTGCTTTTGTTTGACAATCACGAAGGGCTTGTAGATGGGCAAGATCTGAATTGCATAGTTTCTAAAACTTGAAAATCTACAATCGAAACTGACATAGCATTTGATTTGAGTAGAGTTTAAGGCTGCAAACCTGCAGTACTCATTTGAATGCATGTGTTCTCTTCGGGTATCTCGATCCATCCATCCAAACAAGTGCTTGCAATAAGTTGGATAAAGATTTGAAGCAAAATTAAAATTTGAATACTTTCCTTCATCTTTTAGAATAAGAAAAGAAGGAAAACGCAACGAAATCGATAGTGACGCCTTATCAGCTATTTTTTGCAAATGCCGTTTCAAATTATTGACTTGTGATTTGTTAAAATGTTAAATGCACAACTAAATCAGGCGATTTTTTATCTATCAACAATTCATCGATCAATTGAAAAGAGCTTTTGATGGTTTCTCAGAAAGAAGCTCCTTCTTTTTAACTTTTGGTGACTCGCCGAGTGGAAAACTTTCGAACTGTATACAGCCAACTCCAGTTAAAAACTAAAAGAAACATAGAACTAAATCTAAATCGAACTTGAGAATGATTAAAACAATCTTTTTAAAACATGAGCGGGATGTAAAAGTTTTGAAGTAAATGTTTACATTACAGTTAAAATTGGAACAAAGTTTGCTTTTATTTAACTAAGTCAATGATCAAGTTATGAAACAAATGTTTGGATCTGAAAATAAACTAAATTTAAAGATTAAAAAAGTGTGTGTGGCGAATTGCCACTGCTCCGCAGTTAGTCAAAAATTCAATACACAAGTTAAAATTCAACGCTGATGGATCAACTACCGTAATCAGTCACTAGACGATATTCAGCTGTCCGTTTGTTGTAGCTTGTATACTTAAAAAACTCGTTATTTAAGCTTTGCTTTTGAGTGAGTTTTGTTCTCCTTTTTTTCACATGCAAGTGTTGAATTAATTGTGATAGTGCCAGGTTGCTACAGTTTGAGCGAAGTTGCCCTAATAAGGGAAAGTTGGATAAATTGTGTGTTTTCAAGAAGACCACTATTGAACCACACCGAGACACGGTCTCACAAGAAATTATATAGATCAAAACATCAACATATATTTCTTACAGTGTGAGACTCTTTGGTTTTCCCTCGTTTTTATGACCATTAAATGTTATTCTGAAAGAGTGAAAACGTTCCCGCTTTGAATTAAATGCAATGAAAAGGCAAAAATTCGGCTTGGCTGACTGCGAGGGACTGTCTTTTATCTAAAAAATTACTTGCTTAGCGTTTTTCATAAACTTTGGCGCTTTTGTGTATTCAGCTTTATTCATTTCAGAGAAATTTTAGTGCGGCAAGTTTGGCCTAGCATTTTAGCTTACCATTGATTCAAATATTGACTTCACTATGAAAAGCTTTAGATTATCAAGTTTTGAATGTATTAGATTGGAAGGAAAGTTCTCGGAAAAAGTTTGACTGGAATTTCTTAAAAACGAATCCACCAATTCAAGAACATTTTATTCTATTATTTACAAGTCGACTCCAAGAAATTACTCGTAAAAAAATGAGTGCAGCTTTCCCTTAAAATTTTTGAGATTTTTGAAAATTGGCTTTGGCTTATTATTTTCCGGCTTAAATCCAGCTTAATTTTCCCAGAAACGATTCTTTATGAGTCAAAGCTAGCATAAATGAGCAATACGCTCTATAGTCTCTTTTTTTTGATCAACAGAGAAGCTGTATTTTCAAAAAATAATTTTTTAGTGTCATCTCCTTGACACTGAGTGTTTGCACAGGTCATTCTGTAAAGTTAAAGCATTAGATAAAATTTGCTTTAATCGCAAAATTTCCCTATTTTAAGTACTTCGTTTTAGGTTTTAAATTGAACCCATTGCCTATCAATTAACCCATTAAAAACTTGTCTAAAGGCTGGTCACTCAAAAAGTGACCAAGTGACTTCAGCTGAAGAAAGCTCTTATTTTTTTTACCTGAAGCCCACTCTGATTTTTGTTTATCAAAAACTTTTTGAAATATAGTGAAGTTTATGGGAAGAATTCATGGGATCTGGGAAGAATTCATGGCTTAGTTTTTGACAAATCACCGTGCAAACTTTTCCCGAGAATTTCTTTTCCAACCTAATAATTTATAACCTTTCAATAATTTGTTTAATTCAATAATTCAAAGAACTCAAGTGTTAGCTTTAGAAGTAATTTTTCAGAAGTAATTTGACTTTCCTAATTCACTCATTAATCAATATCTCAGGTCATAACTGATACAGCATTTTCTTATCATTTCGAGACGATTCTCCGAATATTTTGCATCACAATATCTTCCCCCTTTGCCCTTTCTCTTATCTGTTATACGACCCTCCAGCCCATTAATGCGAATAATCCAAAGTTGTTTTTAACAATGAAAATAATTCATTTAAACCATCCGTATCTTTCCTTTTATTCTGTCTGCTGTTAGAACGGCCGTTCTTGTTCAGGCTATTATAGCCAACTGCACGGTTCTGAAATTTTCAATAGCTTTTGTCTTGTTGTCTCCCTTTGAACTACAAATACGCATCAACTAAAACTTTATTTCTCCTATAATTTTCATTTTCATTTTCAGATGGAAATCCCCGATCATTTCTTGAATAAAAGTTTCGTCGAAGTTCGTCAAGAGAATGTAGACGAATTCTTCGCGTTAAGAGGTTTTTTTCTGAAAGATTTTCCTCTCTTTTTTCTCATTATCTCTTTGATAATGACGATAGATTGTTGATATTTTTGAATAGGCCACAAATCGAAAACTTTGTACTCTTCGATGTCTGCTCAAGTCTTTCATTTCTATATTTTGCTAACTGTTTGTTGGCAAAAAGCCCAATTTCTTGAAGTAGTCTAGAAAAGGGATTAAACATTGACCAACACTTGCAAAATCATTCAAATTTTTCATTCACTTTCCAAAATTCATTAAGCCTTGGGAAGCACAAAGAAGTTCGATCATGAGGACGGGAAATGGGGATGGAGGGGATGGAGGGGATGGAGGGGATGGAGGGGATGGGGGAGGGGTTGAGCTGGGTGAAATGTGATCTCGTGGGATCACCTGAAATAGAAAATGCGCACAAATCTCAAGGCCAAAAAAAATAGATTCAAGTGCATCCCCAATTCCCACTAATCCATCCTTGTTTACAAACCGACACAAAGAACGTTTTCTCACGAGAAAAACCATTTTTTTTGTACCATAGATGATAAGTGGGCTCCTTTGAAAGCAAAAATTAAAAAGTTCCACTCATTTTTTGTCGGAGAAATCGCTGGGGAAATAACTACCAGAGAAATGGGATAACTTAGCCAAATTGAGTGAGGTTTGATATTTTGAGAGCAAAGTAACAGAAGATTCTGTGCATTTCATGTGCGATTTCCCCCAAATCAGATCGGAAGCCGAAATTGAAAACAAGTTAGTCTATGAGGGGTGTAAAGTGTTATAGTTTATATTTCTCTCTCTAATAGCATCTTACCTAGTCCAACTCTCAGCCACCCCTACTTTTAGGGAGTCCGACCTGCCCACGTCACGTGTGGTCTGGTTCGGCGCGGCGCGGAAGTGCATGTGGTGGGGCTCGGGGTGGCTAATGCCGTACCGGCGCTTTGTACCAAATAGCCAGCGACTCTGTGCCAAGCATGTGCCATTGGGAAGGGGAACAGATTAACGACGAGAGGGGGAAAGGGCCCTCTGATGGAAAAGCCCTGCGCCAGACGGCGAGCGATTACGCGGCCGTACAAAGAACACCTCACTTTACACGCGGGTTTTTGTTCTGAAAATGATGCCCAGATGAGATTTAAAGCTAAAAAATTATATCCGGGGGTTTTTGGGGTCGGGAAATCAATTGGCGGGGTTCGTTTGTTGTATCTCCAAACAAAATATCTAATTTGTGCTGATCTTGAGCCATTTTTCCTGTATCTTGGCTACAAATAATTATCGCGGGTGTATAACCCATAAGAAGTTATTCTTTGATAGAGTTTTTGTTTGCAAAGTGGGCAAAACAAGTAGGTGTTAGCGGCCTTTTCACCCCATGGCCTTTTCACCACCACTTCATATGATAATTTGTCATTTGTCTCGTAAAATGTCGGCCATAAGAAGCACAAGTACCCTTCAATTTGTGATTGGTCTGATGAAGTAGGCTTAAAGTCCCCAAAATTCCAATCTCACTCTTCTGAAATCTTATTTGTGTTTAACATTTTCATATTCCAGGTGTCCCATGGCTCATTCGAAAGTTGATCGTGGGAAAAATGAAAAATGGACGCTTTCATTTGACAAAAAATGATGGAGGCGTATGTACAACAAATTTTTTTTTGGTTTTCAAAGATCACCAAGCTTCACTTCTCAATTTTTCCCGTTTTGTTTACAATTTACAATTGCCAGATATCCGACTCCAAAGTCTTGAGAGAATTCAAACGCTTTTTAGCCTAAATCGACTGAATTTTCTTGTAATTTTCTTGAATTGAATGCTTTTTAAAGTGTTCTGAAAATCCAGATTCTCAGTGAGAATTCTCAAAAATTCATTAAGCCTTTTGAAGCACAAAGAAGTTCGATCATGAGGATGGGAAATGGGGATGGAGGGGATGGAGGGGATGGAGAGGATGGGTGATGGAGGGGATGGATGGGATGGAGGGGATGGGGAGGGGTTGAGCTGTGAGATTCTCAAAAAAGATTTCAACCGTTTAAAACTTCGAAGAACATTTCAGAAATACCATGTGAAGATCGGTGATCCAAGCAAGAATCTCGAGTATGACTTTGAGTTGGACAAAACTTTCAAAGCTACAGGATATGATGGAAAACAACATGAGGTTCTTTTTCATATTAAACTTCCACTCCAAAAATCCCTCAATTTCACTTTTTCCTTCCCAGCTTTCTCCAGAGTATTTTCGACAAGAAAAATTCAACTTAATCCCTCCAAATTTTTCCTTTATTTTGTCAAATTCCCTCACAATCCGGGAATACTTTCAAAGAGTATCGGAAGCAAAATTTTTTTTTTGTTTGCTGATGGAAACAAAAATCATTGTAATCCCCCGGATTTTGCTCATCGGAATTTGAAATTCTTGAGAAATCAAGTCATCCAGAAAGATTCGAGAAGATCAGCTATCTTTTATCGTCAACAATATGGCTGATGTAGGGATAACAGAGATTGGAAGGGGAAGGAAGAAAAAGTAGGCTGTAGTTGGGGAGGTGGCTCTCAGAGTATAGTATTAGGCTGTCCAGAAAGTTGTTCAGAATCTCTAAACGGAACCGCCAGATATACAAAACGCTCTTTTATCTCTTTTAGCTCTTTTATCTTTTTTTTCTAACAAAAAATTATGTAATAATCAGCTTTTAAATGAAGATTATCTGGAGTAGAAAAAATTATTTCAAGGAATCAATTTTTATGAGTATTTTCAATCAAAAGCTGATTTCAAAAGAAATAAAAGGCCTTTAGACTTGAAATTGTTTGCAAAATGCAAAAAAAAGTCACTTGAGAATTTGAAGAAATACATGGTGTTTTGATCAATTCCTAGTCAAAAGAACGTGAAAAACATCAAATTTGACTCGGTACTAAAGCTCAATCATTTCTTTCATCAAAACTTCCCAAAATAAAAAGTTGGACCGCTGTTTTTATTTTAAGATATTGATCTGATCTTTAATTTTAACGATGCAAACGTTTGGTAACTGGTTGAAATTTGGTTGAGAAATTGGGGTAAAGCGAAAAGACTTTCTGGACAGACTTTTCACTTCACCCAGTGACAAAGCACAGTAGTAGAGCAGTAAAAAAAACCCATAACTGAATTGTTTTTGCTGCCTTTGAATGGCTTTAATCCCTAAATCCATTCTATATGGATCAGTCTGTCAATCCGAACACTTTTCCAGGAATTGTTGCAGAGTTTTCGTCGAGTTGTTACAAGTATTAGAGCTTTCCGTTATCATCATTTCCAGCTCTCCGTTACTATCCAGAAAAGATTTAAAGTACTTCATGGAAAGATTTATGCTACTTTTTGTGCCCCTTTTTCCTAATGCATATTAGAAAAATGTTTTCGTTTTGAACATCATCTGTTTTTCAAGAACAATTTGCTCTCTGCATACCAGGAAATCCCTTATTGACTTACAAAAATAATAGCGAAATGTTTCTCCTTGATTTTTTCAATGTTTACTAAATGTCCATTCGACAATCAAAATGATCAGTGTACTTGAATATTTTCCCTCAAAAATCTCATGAAATCTTCCTCGAATATTTGTTGTCGAGAATGGTCGCTAGAGGTCATTTGAGGATAAGCGCTTTTTCCACAAAAACCCTGTTCCTTTCAATTTGTTTTTATTAGAAACAAAAATTTTTCAAATCTTTGATGGAACATACACAGATTATCGTGATTTTTGTTGTTTAAAATGAAAAAATACGTTTTTTTAAATTTAAGTTTTCAATTTCGAAGATAATCCGGTTGATGTGAAATTAGCATAGGTTTCCAGAGTTGTGGGTATAAGAAGGGCTTCGAATTTCACCCGAAAAGTGAAGACTTATAATGAAAAAGGTTTTCAGATCACTTTCTCGATGGAAGATGGAAAATTGAGAGAGAAACATTTGAATCTTGAAAGAAAAGATTCGGGAGAAGATGTTTTCTTTTATGATTTGAGAAATAATGGGGTTTTATATTCGGTGAGTTTATTTTCCTTTAATAATATTAATAATATAATATTTTCCTAGACCTTTAATAATATAATATTCTCCTTTTCCTTTAATATCCCATTTTATTTAAATAAATGAACTATGAAAGTTAATCTTTTGATACTATAAAGAATCAGTTTCCCCAAATCTGTCTTCATATTTCAGCCATCAAGTACTTCATTTATTTATCTCTGTTTTGAGAGGCTCAAAATGGATAAACTCTTAATGTCTTTACTCGATTAAGATTAGAAGAAAGATTATAGGAATGCACGACGAAAAAAGACAACAAAACGATCACATGGAAGAGGGAATTTGAACAACGATAAGAAGAAAATAGAAAGAAAATTTGATGTGGAATTGTTAGGTTTTTGTTTGGGTCATAAATCTGTTTTAAAGGCTAATGAACTGAACACTCAGTTAACAATGAACTGATGTTAACAATGGTCAATGAACTGAACACTTAGTTAACACAAGCTAACAATAAGTTGGGAAACATTTAGTTGAAGAAATTTGAAGATTTTAACCCCTACAACATCGGCTACAGTACCAAGGTTTTGATTTTTTCTTTGCCTTTCACACCTTTCTGCCCCATTTGATTTCTTCCCCAATTCGTTCAGTGATGGCTACAGATTTAAGTGTAGTGGGAAAAATAAGGGTATTCTTGGGGGATAATTGGATGAAGAGAATCGCACTTAATTCGATTTCTAATTCGATTTCAATCCAATTTAAAGCGGGGGTTTCTTCACGGTTTTCAAAATTTCAGATTCACGTCAAAATCTCCTTATCTTGAAGAGCATCACGAGTTGACAAGAAAAAAAGGGGAAATCCCTATTCATCTGATTGGAGAAATGAATGAAATTGGGAAAAACTGTACTTGAACTATAAACGAGTATGAGAGAGGAAGTTTGAGGAAACAGGTTGCGGGGAACGTTTGAAGTTTTTTCTGGAGAAAAGGAAACCCAATGGACAGTCTGACTATGAGGGTTTAGTTTGGGATTGCGGTGGTTGAGGGGTCTGAAGGGAGAAGTGAGAGATTGTAGTCGTGTTGTCAAAAACTTTAGTCATCAAACTTGTTTCAAACAAACTGGCTAGACTTGTTTACGGCAGTTTCGGTCCGGTCGGAATTTTGATTTCAGTTCGTCTCATATCAAGAACTCCAAACTAACAATAAGTTGATCTTTTTACTTGGATCGATAGGGTAGCTTCGGTTTAGACTGAACTCTCGGATTGAGCGGCGAATGAGGACTTGATATTTGATAACTACTAGGCTGTCCAGAAAGTCTTTTCATTCCTTTTCATACTTCCGTTTAAAACCAACAAATGCACGAATTGAACTACGACTGTTTCATTAGAAAGCGCAATTATTTTTCCGCAAACTAACATTAAACAATTGAACAAGAAACACTTTTTATTTAAAGCAAACCATAGGTTAATTGGTGTATCTGTGATTTTTCAGCGAAAGTAGAAAAAGAAAAGACTTTCTGGACAGCCTAATAGTGTGAAGTTGTTTCCAGAATAATCTTTCGAAGTTGCGACCGGTTATGCAACATATCAGAGGCCATCTCATCGTCTGGAACCAAAAATCACAGACAAATCCCACAATATTTGTGGATCGTTTTAGATACCAATAGACGTCATTTCAAGCATTCCCTGGTTTCATTTATAACCTCTCAAAAAGATCTGTCAATCCGAAGGTTGAAATATTTTTTGTTCGTACTTTGTACTAACTCAAGACCTTTTCCGAAAATCAAATTTTCTTATTGTCGGTTTGGCTGTTTTCTGGGAAATTGAATGATTTCAAATTGTTTCAATTTGAAACTCTTATTGAATAAAATTTCTCTTATTATGAGAATCTGTGCTCTAATCTCTGCTAGTCTCATAAAGTGATGAAAAATGAAAAAAACAACATTCAAAAAAACCATCCAAACACCAGAAAAACTAGATTTTTTTTAATAAAATGTATTCTCTATTAATATCTTTTGTTTACTGAAGACAAAGAAAGTAATTAATTGTTTGGATTCGTTTCAGATTATCTTTTTTGTTCCTTTTTTTTCATCAACCTACTACGGTATGTAAAAAAAAATGAAAAGATCGGTGCTGGAGAGGAGAAAGGAAGAAAAAAGAATGATATTTTGTGAGGATTATCATTTGAGAGAAAAATGGGAAGATTTTAGAAGGGATTTGATATGAAAAGAAGAAAAAAAGAAAGGAAAAGAAGGAGGGGTATAAATATGGGAAGATCGGTGAAGAACGATCCTTTTTGGAGGGGAGAATAGACAAGCGACTTCAGATCATCTTCCCCATAACCTTTTCGATAATACGGTAAGGTTTTCGAACTTTTCCCGTCTTTTAAATACTGTAAGTCTTATTCAGAACTTTCCTTAAAATATTCAACTCTTACATCAAGCTTTGTCAACTTGGCATCAAGCTCAAGAAAAAAAGTACCAGCCATTAGAGCACTAGAGCAGAAGCACTTCTCTGATAGAATGTTCGAAAGATTAATTTTTACCTTATAGCACTTTCTTTAAGTAATAAAGTACTTTAAGTAATGCGAAAAAGGTCAGTAACTAGATAAACATCTTGTTAGCATGAGGTATTTACCATATACAAAAGAACAGTGTCCGTCAGTCAATCTTTCTCTCAGGCGTCTTTACGCCAAAAAGACTTAAATCTTTTAAAAATCTTTAAAAATCTATCTTTTAAAGTCTGAAAATATAAGATAGTTATGCTATTTAAAAGAAGGAGTTAAAAAGTCGAGATTGAGTGGCACTACGGGGGGTCGGACCGGGATCATATTGACCGGGACAAGGGCGCTCCTGACTGCGCCACAGCGATAAGAACCAGGATCCAAAACATCCAGCTAGAAAAAGCCTAACTAGAAAAAGCTAGAAAAAGGTTTTTCGACTAATCTTTTCTTTCAAGTTAGCCAAGCCTAGTACAATTTTGAAAGAAGGACAAATAAAAGATTTATGTTTTCTTCTGTGATGTCAGCAGAAGATTTTCTAGTGTGTGAAGCCTTTGCAAATTGCTGTTTATAAACGACATGTAGCTGTTGATCTGAAGAGCTGTTTCGTAAAAGAAAGAACTGACCTTTTACTGTATTGTTGTGCGTACTAAAGATCTTTTCTTAATCAAGAAGATTATCCTCATCCCCATCATCACTGAACACTTCTTTCTGTAAATGTCACTGTGTTTTGTTCATCAAAATGTTATTTCCTTTCCAAAATCCATTTTAAATCCATTTCGTGAAATACTTTTCTCTTTTTGTAACATTTCTTTAATCAAATTCCCAATGGACATTTCCCAGGCAAAAAAAAAAGTTAAAAAGGAAATTTCGTATTCGAAAATCTTGACCGATCCATAATTTTCTTCTTTTCATTTCAATCATTCATTTCAATCATTTATTTCAATCATTTCAATCATTTCAATCATTTCAGTTCACAATCATTTCAATTTCAATTGCAAAAAGAAAAACTTATTGGATTTTCGCCAAGCCACCCACTAGATTTCATTCATTCTTTTCTTTATTTCATTCAATCGGAAATCTTTTCTTTCTTTTCATTTATTCAAATGAAATTTTCGTTCAAAAAGGCTACCGTTTCTCTTTTTATTTATAAAATGTGATCATTCAAAACATTTCACAATCCACTGATTTCTCGAATTTTCCGCTTTTATTTTCTATGATCACTTTGGACTTTTGCTTTTTTTTGTTTATTTTTATTCCCTTTCAGCGATAATCCAGATAATTTGTCCAATTAAAATCAAATTTGTCTAATTTCTCCTTTTATTTTTTCTTTTAAACCCCCTCCATTTTCCGCTTTGATTTCCCGAAGCGTGAGATTTCTTTTGTAATTTCGAGAAATCAAAATGGTTTAAATGATCAGTTCTTGAAATTGGATTTAAGCACTTGAGATACTCGTCCTTGGTGATCATTTAATTATTTCCTTCAACTCCATTCTCATTAATTTGATCTTTCAGAAATGCAATCGCCAATCTCAATGTTGACAGTCATTCTACTCAGTGCAATTTTTGCTTTCGCCTTTTCAGTAAGTTTTGAAGAACGAATAGAACTAAAAAAACATCTTTTCTATAATTTCATTTCAGCGACATCACCATCATCACAAGCACCATCACAGTAATCGAATAAACACTGACGGCTCTCTGCAATCATCAATTCCAATTTCTTATTTGCCTAAAGGTTTTAAATACTTTAAATTCCCTAAAAACCTATTTTTCAGTTTGCCCGCAAGCTTCAAAATCAGCAGAGAAATGGGAATTTTGTCCAAAACCTCAATCGGGAAACGTTGTCGATTGGCCGTGTGTGAGGTAAAGATAAAGAGATAAAGAGAATAGCTGAATGACATAATATTTTGATAGGTTTAAATAATATCCAATGTGAATCACTTTCCGTGTGTCACCTTCAATAATCCAATCAAATTCGAACTTGAAATTTTCAGATTTTCGGATTTGTGTAATGGATTGGAGGATTGTCCCGGTGGCTCGGATGAGGATCCCGAGATTTGTTTCTTCCACAATTTGGTCAGTTTTTTTTCAAATCGTTTCCCATTTACAGTGAACATTTCATTTTTATAAACACAAATCAAAAAATTCTCCTTTCCTGGTCGACTCTCGAATCGTCTGTAATCCGTTGATTTTTGCTGAAATTTTCACTTTGCAAATTTTCTATGATTAGCGCGTAACCCCTTTTTAATACAAAAGCATTTACTGAAAAGATTTCTGAAAGGTTTTCCCTTTAAGGTCAAATCAACAAACATTGTTTTTCAATGTTTCCCTGAAAAGCTTTCTCAAAAGATCATATTTTTTTCGTTCTCTCATTATTCAAAAATCAAACACTATAGTCTGCGAGGACATTTTTAGTCTACGAGATCCCTTCAGACTAGAAAAAAGTGCAATCACTTTTCTTCTGGGCTTTGGAGTGTCATTTGTTTTGGCGTGAGCTTAATCCTCCAGAAATAACACAATGACGGAAGGATTGGGCACATTTGGAATGAGAATTCCTAAAAAGAATTCTCAAAAAAGATGCAATTAATCAAAAAGTGGAGAGAGCTATGGAATTTCGAGAAGTGAAGGAATGTTTTGAGATGAGAAAACGGGGAAAGAATTACAGAGATCACCAACATCGTCGATGTGGGTGGTCGATGTACTTTCAGACATCGGAAAATGACAAATTGTAATACTTGTTGCAGTCGGAAAGCAGCCAATAGCTGGTGGTTCACTAGTACTTAAAAATAAACACTTATTTGCACGAATAATGTGGTACAAACAATACACAAGCACAACCTAAATGTAAGGAAGAAAAAGGATAAAGAGGAAAAAGGACTTGGATACAGCTAGGATCAGCCCGACTAGAATATAGGGCTATTAGCCAGGCTATGGCGGCAGTGTCATTAGTTTGATCCACAGACTGATCTACCTAGGAATCTCAACCCAAACCGATCACATTCAATACTTGGACTTAACAGTAGATTTAAAGTTAAACATATTTTGGCCTTATCTAGCAATAATATGGCCTTATCTAACTTATCCGTAACTCTGCCTTCAGCTTTTATCCAACTCAATAGGGAACACTAAAGGCAGAACTGTAAAGCTATGATGAATAGAGTTATAGTAATCCTATTTTCTACATTAAATTCTTTACAATTCTTTTCATTTCAGATGCGACACGAACTGAGTTCTCTACGCAAAACGATTGACACGCAAAACGAGCAAGTTTTTGGATCGACAAGAAAAACAGTGAAAACCGAGAAATCTTCGCAAACAACCTCAAATGAATGGGTGGAATTGACGCAATTGTAACCCCTTCACAGATAAATCTTTCCTTTTGCTTAATCTTTGTTCTTTCCCAAATCTAAAAGTTCAAATCTTTTTGTTTACATTACTTTTTGTACATTTTGTATTTAGGGATCTCATTCTTTTCTTGTTTTTTCTCTTTACGTGTCTCGATGTGTTTTGGTGTTCTGAGAGAATTTCCCCAATCAAAATACAGATTTTGTCTCGTAATTTACATTCTTTTTTTGTTTATAGTTTAGTGAAATTTCACAAAAAGGAAAAACAAATCCTTTCTGTTATTTTTTTGGTGGGATTTATTAAATACTTTACACGTATCGTTTCGCAGTTTCGAAAAAAGAATTTCCCACCGGAAATCCCAAAAAAATGAAGCGAAGAAGGCAAAAATGAAGAGAAAATTTGACTGATTCTCTAAATGTTTCCTTCCAAATGAGAAAAGAGATCAAAACTAAAGCTAGGCTCTAATTTGAGAATCATTTCAATTTTGCGAATTCATTTTCTCTTGAAACTATACAGCTTCTTGAAATCTCACCTCAGCAATTACACCTTGTGACACGGCAAATCAAAATGATCCCTTCCCGAAAGCCACTTAACTTTTTTTGTTTATTTGATGGAAGATTTGATGATCTTCAATTACTCACACTCATCAAATATCCTTTTTGAGTCGAAATTTCAAATATTTTAGTGATCATTTATTGTTATTTGTACAAGGAGTGATGGGAAGAACGACACAAAGAAATGTTAACACGGTTTATTTTACTAACACTTTGTGCCAAAAATGGGCCACTACATAAATAGAAGAAATTGTAAAGAAAAGCTCAATGAAATCAATGATGATGAGAATCAGAGAAACGGGAAAAAAAACAATTCAACAAGCGAATTTCCTAATGAACATAAAAATGGGGGGAATTTGTGGGGAATCGGAGAGATCAAAGAAGCGATTTGGTGTATTGTATTGCATGCAAGATGAATGAGATCATGATGATTGCGGGGATAAATTCAAATCAAATCTATCTAGTGTCAAGTTTTCGTCAAGTTTTCGTTTTGTTAATGAGATTTTCGGTTTTGCGCAATCGTCATGGTTATAGATGAATGATGGAAGGATGGGATACAATGGAAATGGGAAACGGGGGATGGGAATGGGATAAGATAAGCCACAATCGAGCATTAATTGAATAAAAATCAATCAGTGATTGTATTGGATTATCGTAAATAGAAAAAATAGAAGATAACTCTCAAGTGTCACACAATTCGGACTGTTTCCAGATGAGATCTAGACCTGAAATTCAACTTTTTTCATCTTTCAATTTACCAACAGAACAAATGAGCATTGTTTTTTGAGCAAGACTTGAATCCAAGTTGGCTTGAATATTGTAGTGAGTACTGTACTGGAACTTTACCGTGTCTGTGGCTGGATTATGTATGTGATTGTTGATAGATAGATGATAGATAATTGTGATAGATGTTTTGATTCATAACTAGCTAGCTTTCTTTTATTCAAATCACTCACTCATCGCACGGATCTTGACGGCGAAAAGCAGTGTTGCTTTGACTCCTTTCTCTGAATTGATCGTGATCTGTGCTGCTGAACAGAGCAAATCCTTTGTTGTTGAGTTCTCTGAAACATTTGAGCTTTAAGAAATTTAAGAAATGTTTTGAGTTTCAAATTTCTTGATTGCTTGATTTGATTGATTAAAAGATTTGATGCTGAGAAGTCTGTTCACATTTCAACTTACCAAGAGAACAAATGGGCATCGTTCTTCGATTCAGGCGGGAAATGTGATTTCCGATTGCGATTGAAAGGTTTGAGGCACACTAAACAAATTATATAGCTTCTTTTTGAATTGTTTACTTTGATTTTGATTTACTGTTCAATTTTAAACACCAATCTTTATAATCTTCCCCTTTTCCCCAATCAGCTTTAGTCTGCAAAAGTTGACATTTCCCATCTTTTCGAATTTATTTTATTTCTAATAGGTTAATTTCGCCAAGCTTGATAAAAAGAGTCAATAACTACATTCGAATTTGTTCAAATGCGTCGTAGAGAAGGGATAAACAAAGATAAGAAGGATTTGAAAGGATTGAATTGGATGAATTTGATAGATTTGATGGATTTGATGGATTTGATTGGATGAGCCGCTAATTGAAAGACAACCAGCCACATCCCGTCCACTTTGCCTAGAAAATTATGGAGAACTGAAAGGATTTTCGGGAAAGAGAAATTGAGTAGGGATGCTAGTGTGAATAACTGTGAGACAAGATCTCTTGTATCAGGGTGAATTAGACATCTAAATTATAATGTGTGTACCGTAATCAATCAATTACGATTAAAGCCGTCGATTCGTCGATTAATGCGTTTTTAAAACGCGTCCTCGCATTGGCCAGCTATTTAGCTAACAAGGGAACCACATATACTTACGATTGCATCCGAAATTGGTGGGTAGGTCGAATCGACTTTGGGAAACAACATGTCAAAAATTCAGCTGCAAAGCTCCAAGATTACGGTAGTTATAACGATTATAAGCATTTCGTTTTCTATCGAGAACAGCAGCAACAGCATTATAGCCATTGTTTGCTGTTTAACAATGTTTAACAATCAAAATCAAATAAAAAAACTTGAAGAACAAGACTCGAACCCGAGGGGATCCGCTTTGTAACCGAACGCGCTACCACTACACCACAGTGGATCCGCTGTGCTAACTAGCCCCAATATCGTTGCGGAGAGAGAAACCTCATTGTCACCTATACCTGCCCAACTAAAAACACTATAACTACCGTAATCTTGGAGCTTTGCAGCTGAATCTGTTGTTCCCCAGCGTCGATTCTACCTACCTACCAATTTTGGGGGCAATCGGTGTCCTTACGGACGTATATGTGGTTCTCTTCTAAGCTAAATGAAGGTATTAAAGGTCGTAGCAAAATTTTACGCGTATTTTCTTCTCTATTTGCATACAATAGCTGTAATGTAACCAGCTTGAATCATTAAAAAATCATCAAAACCAACCTGAGGTCCATTATGTTGAAACTGAATGATTGTGAGTGTGGAGGATCCCGGAAGAAATACATGGCATTCCTCTTTTCCTTTTGTGTGCAATCGAAGCGGATGTTTGAATTGAATGAAGTCCAATCTGTCTCCACATTCTGAAATTTCAATGTAATTCTCTCCTGTAACCGAAAAGCTTAAGAAAATTCGGGTTTCCTTTACTTTCCTTCACTTTCAACTCTTAAACTTTCCCCCGGTTGCGTGGGAAAATCTCATCTGACCTTTGTGAAAGGCAATTTTGAAATTCAAATTGTTACAACGATTCTATATAATTTGCTGCCATTTTCCATTTTGCCATTAAAATGCATTCAATCTTTTTTCTCATTCATTATTTCAAATCCCATTTGTATAGTAAATTGTTGGTTTGAAAGAATGATATCAAAAGGATTGTAAAACTTCTTTTGTCTTTTTTGTAAAACTTCTTTTGTCTTTTTACTCACCAATATCGAGAGAGAAGAAGCGAACGGCGAACATGAAAGGAGCATTTGTTGCAGACGCGAGATATTCCAACAACACTTCTGGACCTTCTGCAAGGAAAAATGCCTTTCCACTTTGGAGACAAGCCTGACTGCTTTGATTTGTTGAGGTTTCTCGAATCTGAAAACAACAGGTTTTATGTTGCAAAAGATTTTGTCAAGCTGTAAGTAAGGTTGGCTTCTTGTTCAAGTCAAAAAACTAGAAAAGTATGAATGAATAGCATTGTACGCCTGGTGTTTGTGAGTTTACTGGATTAGGCTCAAGCTTAGCCTTAGGCTTAGGCTTTGGTAGAGCTGTTCTATGAGGATCAAAATGTTTCTAATCTTACACTAATTGCTTTGCGAATCAATTGAAGTTTAGAAAATTGAGGAAAAAGTTTAAAAAGTGTATTTTAAGATAAGATACTAACGTCACGGGATTTTCTGAAAAGTATCAATTAGTTGAGTATGTTCTGTGAACTGTGGAGGGAAAAGGAGACAAAAAAGAGGTTAGAAACTATTAAAATGTATATTTTGTCTTCATCGAGACTGATGAACGAATAAAAATGTAGCCGAACCGTAATTGGTGGAATGTGGGATGAGAGAAGACATGTTTCTTCGTGACCAACCACTATCACTTGTACCATATGACCTCTGGGCACCAATATCTGAAAAGAAAGGATACTGTAGGTTAATTCAGTTTTAAGTTTTGATAATGCTCAGTTTTCTCACCTTCACACTGCACTTGATCGGTTTCTCCGTATCACTCAAAAAAGTTTGATATGCTTTTGCCGTTGACAACTCGTAACTACAGCTCTCAACTTCTGAAAATTGTTGAACATTAGTTAGTTAACATTAGTTAAATCTGTGACTTTACTTGGTATCATTACAATTGCAATTAGATCTTACTGTTAGTCAGTTAGTTAGTGTGCAATTAGTCACAGTATTTGTCTGTTACAGTATACTCAGCTACAGTATGCAGTTACAGTATACTCGGCTGAATATCTTCAACTTTATTGTGGAATGATATTCAGCCTCTTAGCCTGAGTACCCAAATTGCTGAATTTGGGTACTCAGGCTACCCAAATTCCTGAATACAAGTGCTTTTTTTGAGAAACCGACCATCTATCCTCCATGCCTCAGCTCCATTTTCTGTATTCGCCAATGTTCTTCTCTAAAACTCCCCATTTATTTCCAAAAAGCGATCCAAAATTGCAAACCGTCAATGTGATGAGCATCAAAGCATAACATGTTGAGAAATTTATCCATTTTGTGTACACTTGAATCCGCATTTTCTTTGTTTTTGTGTTGTTTTTTCCGTCAGGTCTTGATGTGATTTACCCAGCTGTCTAAAATAGAAAAGAAATTTTGACAAAATGACAATCAAAGAGAAGGTGGTGAGAGCAGCGTGAACTTTGATTGTTCAATTCGAATATTTGACTGGTGAATCAGTCTTTTAAAATGACAACGCAGAATATGCAGAAAATTTATTCCAAAAATTATTCGGTGCGAAAATCGGAGGAAAAGGCACGCGAAGAAAAATGCAAAATGTGGTGAATGGGTTGAAAAGATCAACCGATTTGTTGTGAGATTGATGGAGAAGATGAACAAAAATTAATGGAAAATGAAAGGAGAAATAAAAAGAACAGACGAAAAAGAATGTGAATCGACCTACAATTCGTAAAATGTTAGGTGGTTTTTGGAGAAAACGTTCAGTACAATTTTGAGCAAAGAATGATATTTCTCATCAAGTATTACTGATTTAACAAATGCAGTTATAAAGTTATTAAGCTTATTCAGTCAATCTAGAGTTTACTGAGTTTGTTTTGTGATTAGATTCAGAAAGAATTACTATTTTTGAAGAAGAATTGAACCAAAATCGCCTCTCTAAATAGCTGAGATCAAACGCGACTTTTGAGAAATCAAAACTGATGAAGTGGACTGTTTTGTAAAAGCAATAATTATCAAGTTGCTCCCAACAATTCCGCCTGGCATTTTCCTTTTAAATGACAAATTTTGTGACCAACGTCTTTGAGCAATTTTGCGGGGAAAAGACGTAGAAATTATGTACAATAAAGAAAAAAACGTGAGAAAATAGCGAATAATTGCTCGTGAATCAGTAAGGTGACACTAGTTCTTATTGGGGTTTTCTCACGCTAAATCCAATTGACATCATGGGAAGGGTGGTGAGAGCAGCGTGAACTTTGATTGTTCAATTCGAATATTAGACTGGTGAATCAGTCTTTTCGTTCTTTTTCATACTTTCGTTGAATGATAACTATTAACCCATGGTTTGCTTTATTAGAAAGGCCAATTATTTTTCTGCAAAATATCATTAAAAGGGTTTAAAATGTCTTAAGCCTGCATTTTTTGGGAGCATGAAGTCAAGGAGTCAAAAAGGGCGGCTTGATGAGGCGGCTTAGACACTTTAGCTCAGGAAACCTATCTTGATGTCAGTAGATAAATGATAGAGCACAAAAAGTTAGTTATATAGCCAAATTTTTAGAGAAATTCATTCAGCCAATTTCTTCGTAGAGGTTTTTATAGGTTTTTACGAAAGACACGTTTTCACTCTTGAATTTGCTTGAAAGTGAACCTAAAGATTGACTTAAAAAGATCGGAAATTGAACAATAAACACTTTTTATTTAGAGCAAACTATAGGTTAATTAATGAATTTGTTATTTTTCAATGAAAGTATGAAAAGGAACGAAAGGCCGTTTACAATGATAACTTCTAACATTTGGAAGGCAACATTGAATTTGAAACATTACAAGTTGTCAGATCAAGATAAACCTGATTCAAATCAAAGCTAAATCCGGCGAAAAAACTCTTTTTACAAGAACCATAGTTTTTGGCTATGATCTCCGAAATCAAACAAAACTTGGGAAACCCACAGAAAAGCTTTTTGCACTTTTATGCGAAATGTTTGAACTTTCTGTGTTAGGCATCATTTGCGCCTGCAATCTTTAGCATTTGAAGAATCACCCTAGATTCAGCTCATTCAACCAGCACAAAGCCAAATTCCATTTTCAGATCTAAACGGCAACAAAGTGCAACACTTTTATGCCTACAATCTAAAGAATTTCTTTTGCAGTATTGTTTTTTTCCGAGAGGGCAAAGTGCATAGCCAGGATTAGATCGGAAAAACCGAAAAACGCAAAAGATCACTGATAATTGAATTAAAATTCAGAGAAAAATTGTGCAGAATATAAGCTGAAAAGCGTGCAAAAAGTTGACCAAACAACAAAAAGAGGATTTGGTTACAAATTACAGTTAGATACGGGGGTTTTTAACGTCTCTAAAGTCTCCAAAAATGCAAAAATGAAGAGTCTCCAAAAATGCAATCAACAAGAACTGTGTACGAGTTTGCAGTCAGATTGACTGCTTCTTCAGTCATTTAATGATGAAATTGCTACAAAAAACTGACCTATCTTGAAGAAATAATTCGAAATTTTCAAATACTAGCTTTGGGTAAATAATTTCTAGAAATTGAAGTGATTTTTCGATGATTCTCACACTTTATTTTTCCCTACCGGATACAAATTAGAAAAGGTCGATTGACAGCTTTCCCGTCAGAGAAAATTTGAACAAAAATATCAACAATTACTGTTAAAATAAATATTTGTAAAAGAAAAACACAAAAAAACTTTCTTAGAACATTTTTCTCTTAAACATCACGTTCATCAGAAACAAATTATGGTTTCATTAAGATGTTGAGACAAAAAATAAGTACTGGAAAAGAATTAGAAGTAGAAGTAGAATGGAAATGGGAATCGCAAAGGTTATCAAACAAATAAGAATTGAAAAACATGTTTGGATTGAAGAAAGACAGGTGAAAAGATAGGTTCTGAGGCTTCTGCAGCTTCTGAGGATCTCTTTTCTCAATTTAAACATTCACTGTTTTTGGCTGGAAATGTCTCATCCTTTTTAAGGCTTATTTAACTCTGGCAAAAACACGTTTCAGCGTCATAATTAAAGTTTTTAAGTCGAAAGATATAATTATGGAGATGGCGGGATTTTCGTAAATTTCGGACGGTTACGTAAGCTGTGCAACTGTCAAAGAATTGGAAATGTGTGATGAACTGAGTCATTTTAATGAGGCAATTTTCTTATTAATCGTAATCAATTTGGGATCAGAGAGCCTTTTTAAAGAGTTAAAGAGTGTAGAAATGACAGATTCACCAATTAGCCTATGGTTTGTTTTAAATCAAAAGTGTTTATTGTTCAATTTCTGATCAATTTGTCTTTTTTAAGTCTTCTTTTTAAACCTTTTAAGTCTTTTAGTCATCTTTTTAAGTCTTTAATTCCTTTCTAATGAAACAAACCGTAGTTCAATTGGTTTTAAACGGAAGTACGAAAAGGAACGAAAACTTTAGAAAGACTTTAGAAAGCGATTAAAAATGCAGCTGAAATTTGTACAGTAATGAAAGTGAATGTGAATGCCGTAAAATGTGTACAGTAGATATGGATTTGATTGAAAAGCTGCTGTGACTCACTTCAGACTACAAAATGGCTTCAGACTCCAAGTCCGTACAACAAAAAGAGTTAAGACTGGAGTTTCGATTCAACTTGATAACCATGCCCAACCATGCCCATGCAGATTCATGTGCTCTAGTCTAAGATTGTCAATTTTTAATAGATCCAAATGAGTTCCTTGAGTCTATAATGATTGTAAACCATCGACTGAAGAGTTATTTTAGCTTAAAGTCTTTAAAAGTTAACTGTGATAGATCAAAAGCTTGATTACAGCCGAATGTACCTCATTTCTATATTTCTAAGCATCAAATGCTGTCGTTTTCAAAAGGACAGCATTTTATGCTTCGTTATTGATATAGCTTTTTTCAATTAAGCTTTTTTTTAAAGCGTTCAATTAACCTTTTTCTTCTGTATATAGTGGCCAAAAAATGTAACCATGCTAAGATAGAAAATCACGATTCCGAGCTGCCACATTGGAATTATGAGATTTTTATATGAATCTTTAGAGCTGCAAAATCTCCAAATAAAGAATTACTATAGTAAATAAAGAATAGAAATCAACAAAAATGAATGCAACTTTGTGATGATTATTTCCGGCAAACAACTCAAAAATGAATTCAAATATCGTCCAGTAGAAAAAAATGAATGAAAAAAGGTGTCTCTGGTTGTTTCTTTTCTTTCTTTCTTTACCCTTTTTTTCATTTCATAGATGAGAGAGCCAATTGGGCCAATTTTGTCCCCTTTGTCCACCCGATACACACGTCTTCCCCCCTTTCTTTACCCTTTCTTTACCCTTTCTTTACCCTTTTTTCGTCCGTTCATTCAACTTTCTCCAATTGATACACTTTTAGCCACAATATACGTGGGAATTTTCGTCAAAAAAGCCCCGAAAAGCTGTTGATCCGAAAGAGAAGAATGCGCTCGACAATTCATCATTTTAATAGCAACATCTTGACCTTAGCAATTTGTGTTTTTGTCAGAAAAGCGTTTTGCGTATAAGAAAATGATTGGGTGATAGGGATCAGTTCTGAGGATTTTATTTTTGGTTGAGAATTCGAAGAAAAGTGACTGAAAATGAGGTCACTTTTTGAAAGAATGTAATTGGGGAGTTGAGGAGAAAGGGTACAAAATTGGGCACAGCTAAAAAAGAAATGAGACTGATTATTTGATGATTTGAACATTTAGAATACAGACAAGAAGATTACAAATAGTTTTTACGAATGTTTGAGATTACTAAAACACTGAATCTATCTCAAGATGATGCCACGAGACAGATTGAAGTTTGAGAAAGTTTTGCCAAGATCAAGCCGGACAAAATCGAAAAGCACAAAGAAGAGAATATCAAGAGATCAAGAGATCAAGCGATCAGATCAAATATCAAGAGAATTTGATAGTGATTGTGATGTCAAATTGAACTAGAACTTCAACAAAGCTATTCATAACACACCAATATAGCTCTTTACTCACAATAAATATCCATCGGATCTAATAAAAGTTCATGCAAAAGCATAACACCCATCTTTTCCCCTTTCGCTGTTTCCATCAAACAATTTCCGTTTATTTTTTCTTTTTTCCAAGGCTTGAACACAAGAATTTCTTCTTTTTCACTCAACAATTACGATCGAATCTAGGGGTTTCCTTTTTTTTAAGGGAAATGCGTAGTTTTCTCACATCTATTTGTAGTGCAAAATATGTAAGAAAAAAAAACAAATGATCTCAGAATACTCATCCATTTTCCCATCCAAACTAGACTTGCATATCGGAGAATTTGAAATGAGAATTGGATAAACGAAAAGTGAAAGTGACAAAATGAAT